AAGGGGAAGGGATAGTTAGGGAGCTGGAGATCAACATGTACACACTACTATATTTAGGATGGATGACCAGCAAAGACCTACAGGGAATGCTGCTCAATGTTAAGTGGTGGCCTGGATGGGAGGGGAGTTTGCGGGAGAATGGATACACGTATATGTATCCCTGAAAAAAAAGATGTGATATAAACACAATGGAATATTACTCAACCATAAAAAGAATGGGATACTACCGTTTGCAGCATGGATGGACCTCAATATTATCATACCAAGCGAAGTAAGTCAGACAAAGACAAATATCATGTGATATCACTTATTGTGGAATCTAAAATATGGCACACATGAACCTATCTACAAAACAGAAAGAGACTCACAGACATAGCGAACAGACTTGTGATTGCCAAGGGGGTGGGGGGTGGGAGAAGGGTGGGCTGGGAATTTGGAGTTAGCAGATACAACGTATTATATATATTGATAGAATTGATTCATAAAAGGTCTTACTGTATAGCACAGGGAGCTATATTCAATATACTGTGATAAACCATAATAAGAATATGACAAAGAATATCTATATATGTGGATAACTGAGTCATTTTGCTGTATCGCAGAAATTAACAAAACACTATAAACCAACTATACTTCAATAAAAAAATAAAAAATTTCTGAGGCATATTCTCCCTGTTTGGATTCTGTAGCCCTTCTTTGGTCACTGTGAAAGGTGATCGAGGCTAATTGCCAATTTGTATCTAAAGTAGGAAGGCTGAGTGTTTTCTTTGATCCTGAACTTACTTTTATTTCTCACATGTGCTACCTTGATAAATCTACTTATTATCACTTTTACCATTTTGCCCGATATCCTGCATGATCTCTGTTAGGTTTCTGTTAAAAATCTTATTCACACATTTGTGTGCTTGTCTTGATTATAGAAATTTTTACTTTCACTGCTTCTTTGTCTTTGCTTTATTTCAAATCCATTGATACACTCATCAGGTCACACACATATCACACACACACACACACACACACACACACTACACAAACTACTATCTCGAGTGATAGGAAACAAAAGCCAAAGCTTTGGAAATCAAGACAAGAAACCACTTTCAGAATAAGCAAACCCATCCAAAAGGTAGGGGGCATGTGGTTGTGGGGGTGGTGAAAGGAGAATACAGCTTTAGCTTCCAGAGAAGAGAATAAATAGGAAATGACTAAAATGGAAAACTCATAGAACTCTAAGTATATTATTTAATGATTTGAAGGCAAGTGCCAAAGATACAGCAAAAAAGGAGATGAAGGTGGCTATTTCTGGGGAGTAAGAATTAGTGAGAGAACAAAAAGATGGTTCAAGGAGCCCACAGCTTTCAAATCTTGCTGAATGGTTATTAAATCATGTGCATGATCATTTGATAAAGTGCAAATATAATAAGAAAGGCCCTAAGAGCTAACGGCTGTGGACTCTGGCCTGGCTTGGCTGTGTCACTCAGGTTCATCCTTCTCTTGGCTTCATCCCTAGTTTTGGTGGCACCTCTGGTAATTACTATCGCAGATGAAGTACATAGGAGTGTAAAAAATGTTAAGAAATTGTGCATCGAAAAGCATCTCTTAACCTACACTGAAACTCAATTGTAATGGGCATACAATTCTAAATTGGAAACTATTTTCCCTCAGAATCTCTCCACTCTGAGTTTCCACTGCAATTGAGAAATCTGAAACCATTCAGAAGTTTGGTCCCTTGTAAGTAAACTTTTGTTTTCTTTTCCAGAAGGCTTTGGGATTTTTCTCTGACTCCAGTATTCTATGGTTCTGCAACCTTGATAAGGATCTGTTTTAATTTATTGTGGTGAAACTTGATGAGACTTTCAACTCTGGAAGTTTTTCTTTAGCTATTAATATTTCATTGATTATTTTCCTGTTCTATTTTTCTAGAATTCCTTTCATGTGGAGGTTTAGCCTTCTGGGTACTCTCTAATTTCTAATTTGTGAACCTTTTCTCTCTTACATTCTGTCTTTTTGCTCTACTTTCTGAGAAATTTCCTCAAAATGATCTTCTTGCACTTTGAGATGTTCATTTCTGCTTTCAGATTTTTATTTTTCAAAACCTACTTTTATCATCTGTGTGATCATTTTTCAAGAGTAGAATCCTGTCTTATTTCATATATGGAGTATCTTTTCTTTCTGAGGATATTAACAGTCTTTCTTCACTGTTGCCGCCTTGCTTAGACTGATTCTCGTGTCATTGTATTCATTCTTTAGACATCTGGTGATCCTCGACTCACTCAACATGATGCTCATATTTAAAAACTTAGCTTTCTTGAATGTATTAAGATATTAAAATTTCTTAATTTCCAAAATTTTATCACTATCAAAAGAGGAGAGATTCTTTTTTAAAAAAATTAACCAACAGCTTTATTGAGGTGCAATTCACATGCGTCACCCATTTGAAGTGCATAATTCAATGGCATTTACTATATTCTCAGAATTGTGCAATCATTACCACAATCAGTTTTAGAACATTTTCATCACTCCCAAGTAAACCCCATTCCATCGTTCCCCATTTTCCCCATGATCCTCTAGTAGAGGATCTACTAGATCCTCAATCTAGTAGATTGGCAGCTACCAATCTACTTTTCCTCTCTCTGGATATTTCATATAAATGGAATTCTGCAAAATGTAGGCTGACTTCTTTCACTCAGCATAAATTTCAACATAGTACTATCAGTGCTTCATTTATTTTCTTCCTGAATATTTCATTTTATGTAGACACCACTTTTCATGTAACCATTTGTCAGTTGATGGACTTTAAAAATTTTTGTTGGACTATTGTTGATTTACAATGTTGTGTTAGTAAAAAAGAAGAGATTCTTCAGAAAAGTGGATTCTCTTAATGAGAAGAGAGGTGACTTTCATCCTTCCCTTCCTTGTTGATAAAACGTGCTCTCCGGGAGACACCAGGGGGGCACTGTGCTGGGAGGGCCGGCAAGACCTCAGTGATCCAGAGCCATTCCGTGCAGATCAAAGCTTACAATCCCCTTAGAAAGCCCTGCACGCAAACTTCCCACCTCCCTTAGAAGGCAGCTTGAGTCCCCCGCCACTGCAAGCTCTTGGGGTACCCCTCCTTCTCCACTATCATTCTTAAGACGCTTATTTTTTCATTTTATCGTTATTAGAGTATAGCTGAGTTACAATGCTGTGTTAGTTCCAGGTATACAGCTAAGAGATTCAGTTATACATGCACATATGTTCAGTTTCTTTCAGATCCTTTTCTCATATAGGTTTTTATAGTATACTGAGTAGCGCGCCCTATGCTGTACACTAGGTCAGGGTTATCTATGTTATATATCCTAGTGCATATGTATGCATATGTAACACACACTACTTGTGTGTTCATCCCAAGCTCCCGATTTATCCCTCCTCCCTACCTTTCTGCTTTGGTAACCATAAGTTTGTTTTCTAAGTCTGTGAGTGTGTTTCTGTTTTGTAAGTAACTTCATTTGTATCTCTCTCTCTCTTTTTCTTTTAGATTCTGCATAAAAGCAATATCATAACATTTGTCTTTCTCTGTCTGACTTATTTCACTTACTTTGATCATCTCTATGTCTATCCATTTTGCTGCACCTGGCATTACGTCATTCTTTCAATGGGTGAGTAGTATTCTGTTATATATATGAGCCATATTTTCCTTATTCATTCATGTCTCAGTGGACATTTAGGTTGCTTCCATGACTTGGATGTTGTAAATAGTGCTGCAATGAACACTGGGGTACATGTATCTTTTGGAATTATGGTTTTCTCGGGATATAGGTCTAGGAGTGGGATTGCTGGATCATATGGTAACTCTCTTTTTAGTTTTTTAAGGAATCTCCATATTGTCCTCTAGAGTGGTTATACCAATTTACATTCCTACCAACTGTGTAGGAGGGTTCCCTTTTCTCTACACCCTTTCCTGCATTTATTGTTTGTAGACACTTTAATGATGCCCACTCTGAAAGGTATGAGTTGATACCTCATTGTAGTTTTGATTTGCATTTCTCTGAAATTATTGATGTTGAACATCTTTTCATGCACCTGTTGGCCATCTGTATGTCTTTTTTAGAGAAATGTCTATTTAGATCTTCTGCCCATTTTTTGATTTTTTTTTTTTAATAGAGTTACATGACCTCAGCAGCTTATTAAAGCAACCAGCTTTTTCACCTGTGTGGCTTTCTCTGAAGGCAGTTTTGGAAACAGTATTTTCTCCATCTCATTACATTTGCAGAGATTTTAGTGTCTTTTAAAGCACTTCCCTGGTGGCTCAGTGGCAAAAAATCTGCCTGCTAATGCAGGAGATGTGGGGTTAATCCCTGGGTTGGGAAAACACCGTGGAGAAGGAAGTGGCAACCCACTCCAGTATTCTTGCCTGGGAAATCCCATAGACAGAGGAGCCTGGTGGGCTACAGTCCATGGAGCCACAAAGGAGTCCTACACAACAACTAAACAACAAGTGTAGATGGCCAGGTGACCCAGGCTTTTTTTCTTGCCTCAGTCTCCTCATCTGTAAAATGGGGGTAGCATGGCCTCCCCACCACATCACTGTGACAGAATGTTCAGAAGGCCAACGGTCAGAGCTGCCACTCCACCCTGAGTACAGTGGAGATGCCATCTCCCAAGGCTGCCTTTGCCAGGAGGCCCAGGTTGAGGGTTTGCAAAAGTGAAAGTGGCTTTAAACCCCATGAGGTCAAAACCTAAGGTGCAAAAAACCCAGTAACTTAATTCTCACCTCCACAACCATTGTAAGTAAAACCAAGGAGGGAAGAGAAGCTAGGAGCTCGCCAGGCTGGCAGGCAGCACCAGCCAGCAGCCCCGCCGTCTGCACAGACCCAGAGAAGGTGCCAGACTCCCCGGTCCCTGCGTCTTTCAGACCAGGGGCGCCTGCCCCGCACCCGCTGTCTGCCTCCCCACTCCCTTACTTCTCTTTTTATAACTTACAGAGGAACAGGAAGGGGCATACATTTTTTTCTAAATGTTTTTCAGCACTCAGGGTCTGCCTGTGTTCTAGAAGTTGTGAACTTGTCACAGAAAACGGTTCTCATCGAGGGCACGGGCTTCAGTCCTTCAGGTCTTCCCCGAGCTGGTGAGGAAGTTATCCATCTCCCCTCTAGCTGTACAGAGAGCCCCGGCTCACACTGCACGTGGAAATCAAATCCAAAGTTACAAGAAGAGCTCAGGATTCTTTTACCCACTGGGGACAGCGAAGGTGGCAGCAGAACTCGGGTTTCAGACGAGTCTGTGTTTCTCGGGAGCCCTCGGGGCACGTGGTGCGGAGCGGGGTTTCTGGACAGCAGTCTGCGCTCAGCCCTTTTCACATGTGCGTCATTTAGGATGAAACCCTCTGAGCAAGTAGACAATAGAACATGTAAGTGGTCTCCAGGTTAAATAGACGCCCTTCAGGGCAGCTCCTGGGAGTCTTGTTTTTTCCTAGCAGCCACTTTCAACCAGTTCTCTGGTTTTTGTCACCGACTTAGCTTCCAGTTCTGTTTTTCTCCTTTTCTTTTGGTCAGATTAATTCTCTTAATAGGTTTGCCCTATTTAGAAAATAACAGTTAAATTTGAATTTCAGATAAATAATGCAAAATTTTTGGTAAACATATGTTTGATGTAATGTTTTGCACACATGTAGAGCAAAAGGTTACTTGTTATTTACCTGAAATTCCACGGAACAAACTCACACTAAAAATTATTCATTGTTAATGTGAAATTCAAATTTAGCTGGATCCATATTTCCTCTGGCAATGCTTCCAGGTCCTTTTTTCCTCTCCTCTTCTTTGCAGAAAAAGACTTTCTTGAAACCACAGGGAGAAATAAAGGAGGACAGGCATGTCAGTTCCCATGCTGTGACCTACTGTGATGAATTTCATATTGAAGCGAGGAGTTAGGACGGTTTCAGTTTGATGATTAAATAGAGGAAATAGAGTCACTTTCAGTTTGCTTCTCCCAGGGAATTATAGCTTTCTCAACTGATGTGATAAGCTGTGAGGCAGGATACCTAATTCTGCAGCATCAAATTCCTAGCAGATGAGCTATTAAGCAGACGGAAGATTTGTTTTTTGAGATGCTTCTTCTAAACTGAGAGAATGTCAACTTGGGGAACCAGACTTTCTTGAGTCTGTGTTAAGTATAAAAGTCATGAGCCAGATGCTTCTCAAGTTACAAAGTTTCAAGGATCTGTCTCCTACTTTCACAATATTCCAGCTCATTTTGGGAACATGAGTAAAAAGGCAGTAAGCTTTAGAGCAGTATACTTGCTACATGAGCAGCATACATTTAAAATGCTACTATATGTAATGGAGGAATTTTGTTCTCTGCAATATTTGTTGTTTTTTCTTCCTTTGAAAAAGTTTTTAAAAGTTTGCAGATTTACATAGCCTTATATAACTGATACTGCATGACTTCATGAATTAGCAGATCTGTATCTTTTGCATTTTTGCCTTATATATAGTTTGCCACAGTATTTTCCCTCATCTTATCATCTCTAAAATTGGGTCCATTTTAAAATGAATGGCATATGGTGGCACCTTTTTTGCCTGAATGATGCAGAAAATGATAGTGGGTTTTATAATTGATATCATCTTAGATTTTATCACCATGATTTTTACTAGTAAAATAGCACGACATTACAGATACAATTGGAAGACTTTTTTTTCTCCCCTAGACTTTACCCTCTCAGCCCAGCCAGTCTCATTGTCCTTCAACTTTTCAGAGGTAAAGACTGTCAGGTTGGGGTGTATGTCTCAGACCATAACTATATATATTTTCTTAATATATATTAAGTATTGTTCTCTGTGTTATTGTTCTACATGCATCTATCTTTTTTTTTTTACTTACAATTATATTGTTAAATCAATCCATGTTGATTTATATAGAGATATTCATTTTATCTCCTCTATTATATTCTATTGCATGAATAGACAACAATTAATTTATTCATCTTCTTACTGAGAGACTGAGGTTGTCCCCAGTTAATTTTTCCAGTTTCTTATTATTACAAGCAAGAATTCTCTAATATTTAGAATTTGATAATCTACATTTAGGAATGGAATTTCCACATTGTAGAATGTGTACATTTTCAGTTTTCACTGTATCTGTAATTTAATGAAGCCTGCACTTAGTGGTGTTTTAGCCTCATGAGTGAAATCTGGATTTGTTATTGTGTGAGGTTTGGTTTTTTTCTGCTCAAAGGAAAGCCCTTGCTGTTTTGCCTTCCACCCACTTCTTTACCAGAAATCATAATAGTATAGTGATAAAGTCACTCCCCATAAATGTCACCTTTGAAACTTCTTCTGTGATGGTTTGTGGGCCATGGGTCAACCAAGCCACCCACACTTCCTAAATCATCACTGCATTTCCAAAGAACTTCTGTGCTTGAAAGGCTACACAGCCCTCCCAGGCACCTTTGTCGATCACCTGGAGCTGGAGAGCAGCAATAACCACAGTGTGAATTTTAAAGACACTGCAGTGTGTGTGTCAAGGGCCTGCAGTGGGCACTTTCATTTGGTCCAACAGTGCCAGGAATATAATAAAAGAAAATAACTTAGAAAGTGCACAAAAAAGAAGCGACAAGGTGTGAGTTACAGGTAAGTTTATAACAGTAGAAAGGAAGAAGTACAGTTAGGATTCTACAGTAGAAGCAACCTTCTGATTTATAAATAAATCAGGATGGGTTTCAATGAGAAAGAATTGTTCCAGAGAGTGCACATAACATGTTAAATGAAGAAAATGAAATACAGTGCAGTTTAAAGAGTAGGACTTCTTTTAAAGAATGTATTCATAGAAGTGTATCTGGGAGGGTATAACCAAGGCATACCAGTGGCTGTCGCTTGGATGTGGAATGATGGATGGATCCTGTTTTCTTTTTTTCTCATCTGTATTTTTACTTTTTACATAATGAATGTGTATTATTTTTGTAACCAAAACAATTTTAAAAATGGGCTAGGATTTTGTTTGCTTGGGCCTGGTTTTGTGTTGAGAGTAGACATGGGAGATGACTGGTTGGTAAGAGAATTTAAGAACAAGAAGAGAAAGGGAAATCAGCTTAGTAAAACATTGTCTGGGAACAATTAATTTTTCTTGTGTGTTTTCTTTATTCTTGTTTTCCAAACTCTTAAAAGGAGTCTAAGCAGATAGCTGGCATCTTGCAGTGAATAATTCCGTTTTTCTTCTGTTTTTAAAGACTTCTGCACTTAACTCCTTCACCGGAGGTGAAGAATTTATGCTCGCATTAAAAACCTGTGGAGTAGACTTGCTAGTCACCTTTGATAGTAAATTTACGAAAGGTATCCAATGCTTTCTTTAGTTTCTTCTTTTAAATTTAGTTTGGAGGAGACCAAAATCTCCTCTAGAATAACATTCTCTTTGTAGCTTCAATATTTCTTTCTTGAATCTTCACCGTGGGGAAAAAAAAAATCAAGGGAAGAAGCTCTGTATACCTCTGTGAGTTAGTTAGGATACCAGATTCAAAATGGACAAGTGACAGCATCCATAAAGTAAATAAGGGGGCCTGTAGACAGTCTCCTTAAGGGCTGAAGATACTCTAATTTAAATATTTTAAAGTTATTCATTGTAAACTAACTAAACCATTAAAATGTTAAAATCTAATGCTATTTGGTTTATAGGATATAGAAATACTGGCATACGTTCCTACTGATGATGGACTTAAAATGGGTTCTATTTTTACGGAGAGAATTCTAACAATACATAAGAATAATCAAAAAGAGTTTTCACTCCTCAAAGGAAAAACAGTTTGTATAGAAACGGACAAAAGGCTGTCTGTTTGTTATTTTTTCATGATGTGACTTCAGAGCTACTTCACGGGAGTTCTGACCCCTTCCAGTGCTTCTAGGATTCAGAAAATCACCAGACTTTAGAGATGGAAGGAAACTGAAAGTCTAAGGAAATGGCCCTAAAGAGTTTAGGTCCCCCAGGTGGTAACTGCAGAGGCCATTTTGCAGTTGGTGGCTCTGTACATGGATGGTTTTTGAAGTCTTTATTAAATTTACAATATGGCTTCTTTTGTTTATGTTTTGACTTCTGGGCCATGAGGCATATGGGACCTTAGCTCTCCCACCAGAAGTCTTAACCACGGGACCCTCAGGGAAGTCCCTAAGTCCTGCATTTCAGAGAGGAAGAAATAGCAGTGCAGAGAGATGAAGTGACCAACTTAAGGTCGATGGACCTGCCCTGACTGCTTTGTGGATGGGAGACGAGGGTGGGGAAGGGCAGCAGCGTGGGTCGTGCCTGCCTGTAGCGGGTGGGACATTTGAATAAGGCTGAGGAGGTGCTGGAGCCAGTGGGGCTTGGGGAAGTGGACCACGCGCCAGAGCTGTGCCCTGGGTCCCAGACAGACAATAGCTCCGAAGGGGTGTGAATGGCACCCACCCCATTCCCACAGCTAACCTCAAAAGAGTGTTAATTTCACAGTCAAACTGAGGACCATTGAAATTCAGGCAGTGGCAGAAAACAAGCATTTATTTGGAACCAAAAGAACAATTTGTCTCTTTTCCTTTGCATTGTCTGGCTCATTAATTTTCCCAGAGTAAAACATCTTCAAACAGACTTGCCCTGCTCCTAGAACACCCCATCCCAGTCTAGGCAAACACAATCTTTAGCCCGAAGAAAAGGCATTCCCACACCCTTCAGTGAAGACAGCAGGATGATCATCGCCTCCAAGAAGGGTCGTTTTGGTAAATAAACCTAAAGCAGTGCATACTTGCTCTCCTGAGCATCTTTTTATGAGCTCCATCGGGAGGTCCTTCCAGGGTCCATCACATTTATTAGAGTGTGGACATTTTCCTTCTCAAACCACCAATTTTGTTTATGACACTGTTGGAGTTTGGGATGTCAACTTTACCATTCCTTTCTTCATCTCATGGTCTCTCGTCTTGGGGATTATCTACATTTTGGACCAGTTAATTCTTTTGTGGGGGCTTCTCTGGTGGCTCAGTGGTAAATAATCTGCCTGCCAATGCAGGATGCGGGTTTGATCCCTGGGTCCTGAAGAAGGAAATGGCAATCCACTCCAGAATTCTGGCCTGGGAAATCCCATGGACAGAGGAGTCTGGTGTGCTATAGTCCTTGGGGTCGCAAAGAGTCAGACACAACTGAGCAACTAAACAATTCTTTTGTGAGGGAGGTGAGACTGGCCTATATATTGCTGGATATTAGCATCCTTGGCTTCTAGAGGCCAGTAGCCACCTCCTCCCCCATGCCTCCCATTCATGAAAATGTTTGCAAACATTTCCAAATGTCCCTGGTTGAGATTTAGTCCCAGCAAAGCAAGTCACCAAAAGGCTGTACTCCTAATCCCAAAAGGCATCTGAGGCTGTTCCCACAGTTGAGGCCAACTCCCATGGGTTAGGCTGCCTGATCGTCATGGTAGGTCATCTACCATCTTGAAATGAAAATCAGAACCCAAGAAGGTTGGGTTATTTGGGAAGTTACAGGAATATGAGCCAATTTAATTCTTCATCCCTCTCCATCTTACTTACTCATCTATATCTCACTAGGGCCTTCTTTAGTGGCTCAGATGGTAAGGAATCTACCTGCAATGTAAGAGACCTGGGTTCAGTCCCTGGGTCGGGAAGATCCTTTGGAGAAGAGTTTGGCAACCCACTCCAGTATTCTTGCCTGGAGAATCCCATGGACAGAGGAGCCTGGCGGGCTACGGTCCATAGAGTTGCATAGTCAGACACAACTGAAGTGACTTAGCATGCACAACCTACATTCTCTCTGCCTAAAATACCACTGTTTTGCTGAGTATCCGGGGTAATAATAACACCTACAAGCGCGAGCCCTGCTGTGCGTCAGTTCTGTGTTACGCGCCTTATCTCATCACAGCCACATGCAGAGACGGGCACACGTCATCTTCCCATCACTGGAATGTGAGCTGCATGAGACCCAGGACCACCCCTCTAGTTCATCACCCCCAAAGCTTTCCACAGGAACTAACGTATGACGATGCACGTCACAGTGCCCGCAAATATTCCATACAGTGCATCCATGACTGAATACATTTAGCTTTTTATCTTTTAACTGAAGTACAGTTGGTTTACGACATTGTGTTAACCTCTGCCGCATAGCAACGTGATTCAGTTATACATACATGTGTAGGTACTGTGCTCAGGCACTCAGTCATGTCCGACTCCCTGCGACCCTGTGACTAGAGCCCGCCAGGCTCCCCTGTCCACGGGGGTTCTCTAGGCAGGAACACTGGAGTGGGTTGCCACGCCCTCCTCCATACGTGTGTGTGTGTGTGTGTGTGTGTATTTCATCCTCTTTTCCATTATGGTTTATCCCAGGATACTGAGTGTAGTTCCCTGTGCTGCATGGCAGGACCTTGTTGCTTATCTATTCTATATATAATAATTGCATCTGCTAACCCCAAGCTCCCACTCCACCCCTTCCCCTGCCCCCTCCCCCTTGGCAACCCCTGAATACACTTTATTGAAGAAGATCTTTGACTTTTCTCTTTTATAACCCAAACCCAGTTTGTTTGTTTGGGTCTTTTTTTGGCAAATTGCATTTTCTCTGCTCCCCAAGTCTATCGAGAATATGTTCATCTCTCACTGTCTGCCGTATCACCACCTGACCTAGGCCGCCAGCGTGATCTCTCACCTGGATGATCGCGGTCAGCTCCTGACTGGTGTCCATGCTTCTGTCCTCCTCCTGCTGTGTTATCTGTTATCCGCCCAGCAGCCAGCGTGGCCTTTAGGACGGTCCAGGCCACTTCTTTCAGAGCCTTCCAAAAGCTGACCATCTCACGCGGAGTAAAGGCCAGAGTCCTCCAGCGGCCTACGGGGTTCTAGACAGAGTGTCCTTTTCAGCCCCCCGACTTTCTTTGTGCCCCTGCCCCATCACTGACTCCCTTTTGTTCACCCTAGCCACACTCTCCTCAACCTGCCAAGCCCACTCCCGCTTCTGAGCCTTTGCACTGGCTGTTCCCTTTGCCAGGAGCCCTGCTCCCACAGATCCCTCACCGACCTCTCTCTCCTCAGATTTTTACTCAAAAAACCATCTTCCCGAAGAGTCCTTTTGCTGGCCACTGTGTTTAAAGCTGTAATGCCCCCGGCCAACTTGACTGCTTCATTTCCCCTTGTTGTATGGGTCACCTTCTGATAAACCAGAGGGTAAGCTCCATGAAAGGAGGGATTTTTGTCTGTTTTATTGGTTATTCAATTTCCAGCATCCAGCACCATTGGACGAGTAAGTACTAGAATATTTGTTAATTAAGTGAATGAATGACTGACAACACAGAGATGTTATGTGGCAGAGCTAAGATGCACAGCCAAGCCACCTGCCTCAGAGTCCTGTTCTCCTAATGGTTCTCAAACTTCACGGAGCATCAGAATCTCCTGGGGGTGGGGGATGCTTATGAAAATGCAGATTCCGGGGCCTTTGAGGAATCAAAGCCCGGAGGGAGGGGAATTGAGGAAGCTCCCTGGAGAGTCTTACTCAGCTCGTCCACTGGCTTAGCAGCCTTCTGAATGTGACCAGGGATCTGCTTGCATCAGCTGGATCTGAGTCTGGAATCTGAAGCAGCCTCCTGACCTTGAACTGGGACTCCAGTGCCCACTCTCCGGATGACTGCCTTTTTTCCTTGCACTTTCTTTTTCTAATCAGAAACTCTTTGTGGAAAGGACCCCAATGTCTAATTGTGCTGATGTCCCATGCCTGCAATTTCCTAACTCTAGGGTCTCAGTCAACTGCAGACTTTCTTTATCAGTTTTCTTATCTGTAAACTGGGGATAAGAAATACTCCTATCTCGTAGGATCACCATGAAGATTCAATGGACTTAGGTTATGAAATAACCAGAACAGTACCTGATATACAGCACACATTCAACAAATGCGAGCTACTGTTACTGCTGGGGCTTCCCAAGTGCCTCAGTGGTAAAGAAACTGCCTACAGTGCGGGAGACCCGGGTTCCATCCCTGGGTTGGGAAGATCCCCTGGAGGAGGGAATGGCTACCCACTCCAATATTCTGGCCTGAAAAATTCCCAAGGACAGAGGAGCCTGGTGGGTTACAGTCCATGGGGTCACAAAGAGTCCGACACGACTGAGAGTTACTGCTAACACCGTGACTTTCTAGTCTCCAGCCCAGACCTGTGAATCAGCCTCTTCTGGTCTGGCCCGACAGCATGAAACTCAAGCATCCGGTGTAATTCTGAGGCACACAGAGGTGTGAGCAGTTCCACCCCGTGGGAAGCAGGAGTCAGTCTTCTCCAGCCTGACAGCCACACGCTCATGGGACGGTGGGTGAAGGCAGATATCTTCTAGCACCGTGAGTGACCCAGGAGATGGCTGGCCTGGCTAGAAATGACGCAGTTTGTTTAGAGTGGCACAGTCAGTTCAGGGGAAATCCAGCCCTTGTGTTCATTTTTGTAATGAATGAAACAGACCCCTCAAGTGAGTGTGTAAGCCACGTGTGCATATTTCTAAAACAGGGGCAAGGAATTTCTCGACAACCTTGACACTTAGTCAGTGTGGTCCCAGGACACACAGAAACAGCATCCCTGAAGCAAGCTTATTAGAAACACAGTTAGAATCCCAGTCCCCTTCCTGGACCTACTTCATCAGAAGCAAATTCTAGAACACTACATGTAGGAATTACTTGGGAAACTTAAAAAAAAAAATACTGATAATTGAATTGTATCCCTAGAAATGCTGATTCATTTGGTCTGGAATGAACTGGGCACTGGAATTTTAAAATTTCTTCAGGTGATTTTATGTGCAACTAACACACTATGATAACCCTATGTTGATGACTCAAGATACCATCTGTTCTCCGGGTGCTCCGAATTGGGAGAAACTGAGTCACAAAGCTAAGCTTAGACATGGGATTCCTGCTTCTCTTTCATGGGGAATGCCTAAATCTGGAGTGGTTCACAATTGCAAATTTAGAAGGAAAAAAAAATGGCATTTGATTTACAGAAAAATCATATATTTACACATACATATGCCATCTCCTCTCTGGCATTGCAACTTTTATTTAATAAGGAAAGGGATAAGACAAGAAGATGAAACTTAAAGAACAGAGAAAAGAAAAGGACCTCTCACTTCCCATCCTGCCCTACAAACAGAGCAGACCCCTTCACTTCACAAGGCAAGTTTTATGCTAAATGCACATTTTCCTGTTGACTCTGCTCACCCTGGATCCATTCTCAGATTTACCAAGGCAGATGACTGCATTGAGCCCTGTGTTTTTTGTTTTGTTTTCCCAATTAGGTTGCTGCTTAAGATTTTTCCCTTTATAAGCATGTTTTATGAAGAGAATGCATAATCATCTCCTGAATCCATCCCATTAACTGTCTGGCACTTCAGCTTGCTCTTCTGTGACCCAGAGATAACTTCTAGCCTATCTCTCTTGTGGAGAAGATTACATGAGATAATGAAGGCAAAGATGCTTTGAAAAAGGATAAAGGAGCTTAAGACCAGTAGGTCAGAGGAAGTGTCATCAATACAGCTCCATTTGTTGAGAGCCGATGTGCCAGGCACTGGGTAGTTTACATATTTTGCCTCTGATGCTCACAGCAACCTTGCAGAGCATAACTACCTTTGTTTTACAGACAGGAAACTGAGGCTCAGAGACATGCAGAGGCACAGAGGCCCTCTGCCAATAATCAAGAAAGCCAGTTTTCAAACCTTGTTTTTGCTGGCCCTGAAGTCACTTCCTCAAGCTGTCATTCAGAGGCTGCCCCAGAGATTCTAATGTAACTGGTCTGTAGGGAGGCTTGGCCTTGGGGATTTTTGAAAGATCCTGATGATTTAATAGAATCAGTGCTAGAGTTCCACTAAGTTAACTATCCATAAAGAAACTAGTGACTAAATCACAAATGAGAATGTTTGTAATAGAGTTATACACAATCAAAAGTGCATCATTCTAGAGTGCATCATTGCATCAAACCAAAACAGAGAAATTGTCATCAACTCTGAATATGACTTTGGATAGCCGTGGATATATATGCAGCATGGCCTATTTATTATAATGTGTTACAAATATTTGATGAATATGTAAAGGGATTCAACGGTGGGTGAATCAGGAAGAAACAAAAGCATAACACAGTTGAGCATCTGGAAAGGTGTACCCTGTTTGCTTTGATTTATTTTTAATGTTTTTGCACATGGGCAAAATGAGAAGATCTATGGACTCCAAGTCAAGAGAATTGTGTGTTTTTCATATGATCTTTGCAACAATGCAAAATGAATTTTTACTTTTTAAAATTAATGTTTATTGGAGTATAGTTGCTTTACAATGTTTTGAAGAGAATCATATTTAAATATCTACTGTGGAAACTCAGATAAGCTCTCTGAAACTCAGTTTTATTATTTAGCAAAAGGGGGAGATGATCCTGTGTCTTTGTGATAAGCAAGACTAGTGTCTGTAAAAATAAACCTTCTAATTAGTAAAATGCCATCCATGGCTAATTCATTTCATGTATGACAAAAACCACTGCAATGATGTAAAGTAATTAGCCTCCAACTAATAAAAATAAATGAAAAAAAATAATAATAATAATTAGTAAAATGCCATATTAATGCAAAGGAATATTTTTATTTTTATTATACAAGCAAGAGAAACCTAAGAAGTGTAAGTTTGGTCAGCAGTTCTCAAAATTTAGCATATATCAGAATCCTCTGGCAGAAACTAACACAACATTTTAAATTAATTATACGCTAATGAAAATGAAGGGGGAGAAAAATCCTCTGAAGAACTGGAAAACATGAGTTTGGGCCCCACTCAGATCCTGAGTCAGCACATCTGGAGACTACGTATACATAGCTCTGACTTAGACAAGATCACCATGTAAGGCTTAACCAATAACATACTTGGCTTCCCTTTTCCATCTCCCAAGGCATCTCACCTCCTCCTTTAATTCACCTTATCTTCTCCAAGCCTCAGAACCGATTACTAGAAAGAAAAAAAAAAAGCCTCATTCATTCATATTTGTGAATAAATTGACAACTTTTACTGCATCTTGTAATATTAGAATCTTAAGGCAAATTATGGAACAGAAACGTGTTCATCTCCTTAAAGAGTAGCCAGATTTTAACCAGTAAGTATTACTTCATCATGGAGGGTATTGGGAGGGAAGGTGAAAGAACAGCTTAGGTTTGAGAAGAAGATAGAACAAAGGTGATGAATGGACCTAGAGAGGACCGTATTAAGTGATATAAGTCAGAAAGAGATAAATTTCATATAATATCACTTGTAGGTGAAATTTAAAATATGGCAAAAATGAACCTATCTGTGAAACAGAAACAGACTCACAGACATAGAGAAAAGACTTGTGGTTGCCAAGGAGTGGGGCGGTGGGGGGGAGAGAGAGGGAGTTTGGATTAGCAGATGCAAACCATGAAATATAGACTGAAAAACAGCAAGGTCCTACTGTATGGTACAGGGAACTATATTCAATATCCTGTGATAAACCACAATAGAAAAGAATACTTAATGTAATAGATATGCATAACTGAATCACTCTGCTCTTTAGCAGAAATTGGCAGACAGTGTAAATCAACTATATCAGTAAGATAAACTTTAAAAAAGAACAAGGGTGGAGAGAAACAGGAAAGAGGGCATGTACAGGAGGTGTACCGAGTGCTTCAAAGTTCTGACCAGTGTGAACCCTTGTCTGACAGACTAACCTAGGCTCTCACATGAGGACTCTTCTTGTGTTTGTCTAAGATGAAAGAAAATGAGAAAGTCTGGTGGCAATGTTTATAGATGGGACCAAAGTTTCAGCATGCTAGGATATTA